CCACTGTTCTAACTTCACCTTTCAGCATCATTAACTCTACCTTTGCCGTTGGTCCAACTGTCTTTCTTCCTCTTCCTTTTTCTTGATCACTGCACGGATATAAGTGTGTATGTTAATCCAACCAAATTTATTTTCAATCATTCTCTCAATCATTTCTCTCACTGTAACAAAATTCACACCTGTCTCTCTCTCCATTCTGTTCCTTTCCACTATCCATCTGCTGCAATCTAACATCGTATGTGTCACAGTGTCCGAGTATCCACAATATAGGCATTCATCTGTGTCAGCCTTTCCGATCCTATAGAGGTAGGCCCTAAAACACCCGTGTCCTGTGAGCACCTGCGTCAGGAAATAATCCAGTCGCCTGTGGCCACAGTCCACCCAAGCTCTTATGTTCGGGATCAGCATTTTCGTCCACTGTGCCACATCCTCTGTATTGTTCCATTCTTCTTGCCATCTTACAACTGACCTTTCCCTTACCTGTCTTCTCTCAGCCATGTAAGGTTTGGGCCTCTTCTCTCATAAAGCTCTTTTCTTTCTCTTTTTTTCTTTTTTTGAAACCTACTTCATTGAATATATATAATATATATATTATATATATATATATATATATATATATATATATATATATATATATATATAGATAATATTAAATATCAGAGAAAGGAAGGTAATCAAAATGTTTAGAAACCTAGAAAGAAGTAATTTATGAGTTATATACTAGAGAATATTATAAAAAGTATTTATATGAGGGCATCCTTAAAAAAATTAGCATAATAGTTTATTTAAAAAGTTTTTTTTTGCAATATATTTGGTTAGTTTGATAGTTATGATATAATAAATATATTTAGATGAGTAAATTTGTTATATTTTGGTACATTTTGTGAATGAAAGTTCACAATATGGGGCAGTGAATCCAGGTGAAATTGAACAGAAAATGCACATTTGAAATAATAATTATGGGTTAAAATAGTGTTACTTACTAATTTAAGATGTTTAATTTATATACAAACACAGCTCTACACAACACAGGATGGTCACTGTAAAACTGAAGGATGAAAAAATGAAGGAAGTGAAAAGAAAGGAGTACAGGAAAGTAAATGTAAACAAACTAAAGATAGAAAATGTGCGAGAAGTTTACACGGAGGAAACTAACAAAAGACTGAGAATAATATAGTGAGAAAAAGAAACATGGACAATGGAAGAAAGATGGAATACTTACAGTGAAGTATTAAAGACAACAGCAACTAAAGTATGTGAAATCAAAAAATATAATAAACAGTTAAAAAGGACAAGATGGCGGAATAAAGCAGTGAAGACAGAAATAAAAAAAGAAGAAAATGGAATTAAAAAAAATACATAAGAAAAATATTATATTCAGAGCCGATTGGTACAAAAGACAGTCACACAAGCAAAAGCAAAAACATGGAAAGAATTTGGAGAAGAACTTCAGGAAGAATATATAACAAATAATAGAAACTTTTTAATGACAATACGAGACATAAGGCAAGGAAAACAAAAGGAAATAAACGCAGTAAGAGATACTTCAAACCAAATACAAATAAGCCCAGAACAAGTAACTGGGGTATAGAAAGAATATTATGAGAAACAATTTGATACCGAAGTGATAAAGGAAGACAATATAATCAATGAAGGCGAAGAAAACACAGAGCTAGAGCAAATAAGTAGAGAAGAAGTAATAGAAGGATTATCAAATATAAAAATAGGCAAGGCAGGTGGAGATGATGAAATTGAACTGGAAATGGTAAAATACATGGGTAAAGAAGGAATAAACTGGATATGGAAAATATATAAAAAGGCGTGGGAAAAACAAACAATCTAAAAAGACTGGAAGAACAATATCATCGCGCCAATATACAAAAAAGGAAAACATGTAAACTATAGACCAATATGTCTGTCATCGGTATACTCTAAAACATACACGAAAATAATAGAGAAGAGACTGAGACAAGAAGTAGAAACGGTATTGGGAAAAGAACAAACGGCATTTAGACCGGGAAGACAGTCAAATGACAACACATATATCATTAGAAACTTAATAAAAAGAAGCATAGATACGGGGGAAAACTAGTATTAGCATTCATAGACCTAAGAGCTGCATTTGACACGATAGAAAGACATATTGTAGGCAGATGCTTGAGAAAAAATAAATGTACCTAATGCGTTGATAAAAATTATAGAAAGTACTTACAAAGAGATAAAAGGAAGGGTACAAATAACAGGGGAAAGATCGGAAGCATTTAATTGGAAGAGAGGTATTAAACAAGGAGATAGTCTCAGCCCTTTGCTATTCATAATAGTAATGAACGAATTGATAAGAAACACTAGAGTCAGAACCAATCAACTACAGTCAATTATAGGTTACCACAGATTACAAACGGTAACAAAAGAGTCCTTAATGTATGCAGACGACATAGTACCAATAGCAGATTCCGAGAATAAAATGCAGAAACTAATGGATATATGGGTAGAACAAATAGCAGAACTAAAAATTGAGATAAACGAGGAAAAAAGTAAGATAATGATAAACACCGGCAAAGGACATAAGAAAGATAATCAAATAAAGATCAAATGTAAAAACTCAGAATTGGAAATAGTAACATTTTACGAATACCTGGGAAATATAATAACTAACGATGGAAAAATAGACTGGGAAATAACAAATAGAGCAAAGAAATCAAACAAGTTATACTACGCGTTAGCCCCAATAATAGGAAAAAGAGAACTTGCACGAGAATCTAGAATAAAAATATATAACAAAATAGTGATACCGACTATGCTCTATGCAAGTGAAAACTGTACAATTCTGAAAAAAACATAAGAGCAGGATAAACTAAATGGAGATGAGACATCTAAGAAGGATAGTTGGAAAGACAAAATGGGATAGATTAAGCTACGAGACTATTAGGAGAATGACCAAGCAGAAACCGATAATGAACAAAATAGCAAAGAGACAAATGAACTGATATCGGCATCTGATGAGGATGCAATCCAATAGAATTACAAGAAAAGTTTATGAAGCAAAAAACATCGGAAAAAGAAAAAGAGGCAGACCAAGAAAAAAAATGGATACAGCAAGTAGTAGTGGCTGGAAAACTTAAACAAAAATCACTCGAGGAATTGAAAATAATGACAGGAAACAGAATAGAATGAAAGAGGTGGGCAAATGGAAATTAAAATAGCTAGCTTAAATCCGACAGCCTAATAGAGTAAAAAGAAGGAGATAAAGAAAGAAAGAATTTATATATAAGTTTTCATTCTGATCTGAAAACCTAAATTTCCATAAAAATTCTACATAAAAAAGAAAAGAATTTTCTAGAAGTTTAAAAATAAAACGTCAAAAAGTCTAAATATATCAAAATAGAAAGAATCTAACCTCTTTTCGTTCGAGAATTTTCGCAAACATTGAAATATCTATAAATACGCTGTCACTTTGAGCGTAAAGAAGATTGATTAATTAAAGAGAAGTAAAACTGTCACAATTCATTTTTGAAAAAAGTCAAGTTTTTGTTAAATTTTCATAGAAAAGAAATCAAACAAACAATAATATATAAATTATTAATAATAAAAAGTCAATCACAATAAAGAAGAAATAATATTTTACTCAAGTATAAATTTTAATAAGAAGAAAAATAATTTGAAATGGTGGAAGTTGACAATTGAAACATTGTGGTCTATTTTGGAAAGCAATTTCATAAAAAGAAGGATAACCAGAGGCTGATAACTGAGACATTGAGTGGCGATTAAAACCTTTATTTTGGAAAACAATTTCATTTAGGCATTCAGTGACAGAAAGGTACCAAATTTTGTTAGTATAATTTAATTAATGGGATAGATATAATAAATAACGAAGAACTACTTAGTGTGATTAGACATGCAGATGATACAGTAATTCTATCAGCAGTAGCGCACTTAGAATTTTCCTCTGGGGGGTTTGGTTGGACACCGAAACTTTTTAATGCTGCCTCCACCATTTTAAGTGGTTAAAATTTATAAATAACAGTGTCGGAGAGGGGATTTGCGATAAGCCCAAAACCCCCACTGGGTGCGCTACTGTCTATCAGATAATATTAAAGGTCTTCAAATTCTGCTTGATTGTATTCACGAGATAGGAGAGGAAATGGGCATTAAAATAAACTCAAACAAAACCAAATTTTTTTAAAGCTTCAATCGAACGGAGTCCAAGTTGAAAAAGTTCACAAAATGACATATTTGGGAACTGTGATAATGGACCAACTAGATCCAGACATAGAAATAAAACGTAGAATAGCAATGACTAAAACTACTTCTATGAAAATGAAGTCATTTTTTGCAATAATCATCTCAGTTTAAAACTAAGGCAAAGAATGGTTAAGTGCTATGTTTGTTCCGTACTTTTGTATAGTGCAGAAGTGTGGACGCTAAAAGTATCGATCATGAACAAAATTGAAGCATTGGAAATGTGGGTTCATAGACGAATGCTGAAGATACCTTGGACAGCAAGAAAAACTAATGAAGAAGTACTAAGGAGCGTCAACAAAGATAGAGAACTGCTAAAGACTGTTAAACATCGAAAAATGTCTTATCTGGACATATAGTAAGGAGAAGTCGATATAAAATATTACAACTGATCCTTAAAGGCAAAACAGAGCGTAGAGGTGTAGGAAGAAAACAAGTTTCTTGATTAAAATACTCAGATACAAATGCAGGACAATTATTCCATATTGCAGAAGATCGAGAAGCCTTCGCAATGGTGATTGCCAACGTCGGATAATTCTGATATGGCACGCAAAGAAGAAAAAGAGACTTTGTTTCGATTGTCACTTTCAGAGTTCAGAAAGCTCACCTTCAGAACTTTAAATATTTAGCTCATTGTCGGAAACAAATATTATTTTATGTACCTACATTATTGATTGATTTATAGACTTGTAATAATAAGTAACTTATTCAATTATTATGCATCATACCTATACTAATATGTAATAATTATTGTCACTCACCTGGCGCAGCACAAAACTGCTCGATTCTGAATCTAAAAGTAAAGAGAATATCCCAATTAAATCACTTTTTATTAATCTTGTACCATTAGAACAAACCTTTTTTATGTTAAACATTATTCGCTTATTATTATAATCATTAATTTGTGATAAGCAATTAAAATTTGATTTAAAGTAAAAAAGCCAGTATGAATACATGTTCTTTTTTATCATCCTAATTAACCATGAAAACTAAGATTGACGAATGGATTTAGTGTCCGCAGTCATTTAAACACAAACAAACAACAACAACAACCATGAAAACTTATTAGCATTACACAATATTAACGAAACGTTTTTTTGCGAAATAAACACAATGTAACTATTTGTAAGAAGTTAGAGACAAAGCTAATGAAGTGGAGATAAATAAAATTGGGTTTAAGTAATTTATAACTTATAATGATATATGATATATATCACTACCTTAATTAACAGACCTTGTAACTCCAAAATAGAACATTTTATAGGAGACAATAAAAACTTTGTAAAATTGTAATTATATTAGCAATCATATTTTTGGTTTGAAATATATATTTGTATCCTTGAACTCAAATAGCTATTTGTATTTTTTTATCTTATCCCATTAGTGCCCAGATTATTTTTTTCCAGTTTTTAATGTGATGCTAATATTTTTTTGGAAGCAGTTTGATTACAAAAAATAATAATAAATGAATTTGTGCATTCGGATTTATAGATCACTCAATATATGACGTTACATATATGTAACGCTAGGAGCTAATGGGTGCAAAACATACAAAATATAACTGCAAACAGTTTTATTTATTTAAATACGGAAAATAAAGAAAATGGAATTTAAACATTTTGGTTTGTATGATAGGTAACGAAACAATCGATACAAAGACCTACGTTACATTTCCTACATATCGTGCGTGTTGAACTTTTGCAAGATGTTCCAGCACAGCGCCTTCTTTTGTCGTTTGGAATTTTAGCCACTAGGTGGTCCATCCTATCATATCTAACTTCATCGGCTGCTCTTTGCGCATTAGAAGATGGAGATGGAGTTCTGCCAGTGCCTTTGGGCGGTGACGAATATTTCTTCAAATAAACTTTCACGATAGCCCTTCGAAAATCTATTTGGGACGTCTGAGAGTTGTTTGATTTTCGATACAAACACCACGCGTTATTGACTGAAACATCAAGAAGCCATGAAAACAATGCCCAGTACCATTTCCTGTTTCTAATTTGAATCCTGTACTGTCCAACGTTCTGATCCATTCGATCAGTACCACCCATTTTTTTGTTGTATGCTGCAAATACTGCTGGTCTGCTAACTTGTATGTGTTTTTTTTTCTTTTTGCGAATAACGTCTAACATTTGTTATTGGATTGATACCATATTTATTGGAAGCAATGCAAACTACGGAATTATCGGCCCACTTAGCTACTAGTACAGCATCTGTCTTACTAATAGCACTTTCATAATATCCCCTTTCCTGTTTGTGAAGATCTTTTTTGGCCAATAAAGGGCAGCTCCTAGGTAAACGATTTTCTCTTATAGTCCCCGTGCCTCCGTATCCTTTTAAACGTAAATAAGACAATAAACTGAATGTAGTAAATAAATTGTCAAAGTAAAATGAGAATGGAAAAGATTTCAGATTATCAGGTAGTTCTTCTATCATTTTCACCAGTGGTGCTGCCGCTTTTCCAAAGTTTCTTTCTATGTCAATATTAGGAGTTACAGATTTTCCTTGATATATCTCGAAATCAATCAAATAGCCCATCACTGAATTTAGGCACCAAACTTTATAACCAAATCGTATGGGTTTGGCTCTTAAAAATTGCTTGCAGCTATGTTTACCGTAATATTTGACCATACTTTCATCAAAAGCCAGATCTTTTTCAGGAACAAAATACTTTCTGAACCTGTCTTTCACTTTATTTATAAATGGCCTTTATTTCCAGAGCTTATCACCTTTATCAATATTTGCGTTAGAATTCAAGTGAATAAGCCTCAAAATTTGCTCAAACCTGTTGCGTCTCATAGAATTATATATAAGTTCGTTTCTGGTGTCAAGACTTTGCTCCCAATACATACGTTTGCTGGGAAGATCATTATAACCACTGAGAATCAGTATAGCAATAAAACATTTCATTTCCTCTGGCGAGACTCCTGGGTCGGGTAGGTTGTTAAAAGTAGCATATTGGTTTGTTTCCTGTACCAAAAATAAAATGATTTCTTCATCTATGAACATTTCGAATATATCTACAACTGATTTTTTTTCAAACAGTGAATAATCTGACTCAGGAAATTGTGTCTCGGTATATGTGAAATCTCCCGAAACCCAATCCCGGGCTGCAAAAACTTTTGGATAAACCATATGAGCAGGTGTAATATCGATATCATTATTTGTCAAAGAAATGTTACCTTCTGTCGATTCTGGCGGTTGAATAGAATCATCTTCTCCCAGTATAATTCCATTAGTAGTCCTAACTTCTGCATCGGCAAGTAGCTGACGTTTGCTCAAATTGTCCAAATCTCCGCCCTCGTCCTCATCTCCGGAATCCTCATCCGTCAGAGTAGCTGCATCCGGTGGCGCTATATAAACTGCCTCTATAGAGTCATCTATCCCGTCATATTCTCCAAAGGCTATATCGATAGCTTCTTGAACAGTCAGGCCTCTTTGAAGAACTGCAGCAAGGCCTCTGAAATAAAAAAAAACAACTTAGTAGGTACATACTGCATTTTTAAATTTCCTCTGAAGTCCTATAAACACTCTGTATACTAATATTTCGAAAAATATTATTAAAAATACCATAAAATGGAAACAAAATACGTAATACATCCGTACAAAATAACTGTAAAATATGCTTACATTACATCCTAGCGTTACAAATATGTAACAGTCAACTTCCTAACCTAGCAACTTTTTTATTTGAAAAAATATCAAAGCTTTTTTACACAAAAAATATGTATTTATATTTACTTTTACTATTTGTTTTCTAATATTAACGTTATTATACAAAATGAGATTTATATACTTACTCTTTATCGACGAAGTCCATTATTTGAAGCTTTATTTGTTTAGTTATACTTTATCGAGGCACAAACTCAAAACAAAGTTCTAATAAAATAGCACACTTCAAACGATGTAAACAGTATAACCTTCTGACAAGAACTGACCTGTTTTCGACTGAAAATTTGCGACGTATGCAACAGAGGATCTATTTAGATGGCACCACTTTGCCGTTACAATTATAAGGAGTTAAAAGTTTTGCAAACACACTATATCTTCGATACTTCATTTTCCATTTATTTGTTAAAATGGAAAAAAGAGTGATCCAAAAAAAGTCTTTTTTTAAGTCTATTAATATAAAAATATATTTTGAATCCAATAAATTTTAATAAAAATTATAATATATATATATATATATATATATATATATATATATATATATATATATATATCGCACCCTCAGTAATATAGAGGCACAATTCAAAAAAGTAGATTTGTGGGAAATCGCGTTTAAAGATTCTGGTATCCGACATTACAGCTATTTTTTCAAATAACGTGCTTATTATTTAAGTTATAAATATGAAATTTGGCAGATTTGTTATTTGATAACTGCACTAAAAATTACAATGAGGAAAAAATAATAATATAAATAAATTCTATTAATTACAAGGAATGGAAAAAACTACTTTCGAGTTAGTCCCGTATAGTATAAAAAACCATAACAGAAATAAGGAACTATTAAAGTTTGATCCCTTATATTATTAGTGTACCTGCCACTGTTTAATTTTTAATCGTAAATGGTACTCTATATCACCAATCCCAACCGATGTTTGAATTTATTGTTTCTGTTTTATAAATAAAATATCAGGTAAAATAATAGTAATACTTTATTAATCAGTGCAAAATATAACAATAATCTAAAAAAAATTCAAAACAAGAGTTAAACATAATAAGATAGCTTTAATATTATCACATTTATTAGTTAAACTTTTTAATTCCAAATAAAACTTACAAGTAGTAACTCCTCAATTTTTACATTGTCGTTTACTTATTACTTAATTGTATATCACAATATCTCCACAGTAAACTTAAAAAATTATACATAACAAAAAAACATTCATTCCTCCATTCTAAACTTAGAAAACTGCACATAACAAAAAAATTCATTCTAAAAAATAAAGTCTTCAAAAATAAAATTCAGTCTCAAAACTTAATTATTGTACTTTGACTATGTACTCAGTCTACACAAAATAATGTTGAAATCCCAAAGATTAGTAATATTAAGACAACATGTTGTTATAATAAGACGCATAGTATGGATCTATCAATTGTTTATTAATAAGATCCTTAAGATCATTCTTTTTAGCACAACGAAGTGGAAGTGCCTGGAGGTACGCTTTCTGCATGGTTATTTCTTTAATATTTGGCATTCTCTTCCTCTTATCACGAACATTAACTATTTTAAACTCATCGTTATATGAGCACTTGTAATAAAACGAAAATGGGTCTTCTTTGGTAAATTTCAGTACTTTAATACTATTCCATACAAGATTATTTTTCTGTTCATCTGTATTAAAATTATAGCCCCAATTTTCTTGTAATTTCTGAAGATCGTAAAAAACATTGTAAGTTAAACTGTGAACTATAAATGGAGCACCAGTTTTCCTTGCTCTTTTGATTGCTGAGATTTATTGAACAGGAGAGTATATTGGGCCAGTTTTCCTATCTCTAGCTATCTGCTTTTGTATCAAACTATGCACGTTATCAGCTTCGTTCTGAGTGTGCCCTTTTATGAGATATTTGTGAGTTATCGACGACAAATTTTTTAGATTGGCAACAGCGTATAAGTATAAGCATGTGAGATATTTATTTTTGTTTTGCCCACAACAGTTATCGGAAAAAAATGTTATATTTACTTCCCTGTCACCAGCTTTATCAGACACAATCTGTAAATAATGGAAAACACAGCTCCCTATCTCTGTAGCGCCTCTTTTCGCTTGAGTCTCGTCCCAAAAATAACAAT